GGGCTTTTTTGTTGATTTTTCAAGGTTAATCAGGGACTGCTGAGCTTTCAGATGATTTGTGATGATCTTGTTTGATTGTTACAACAGATTTCTAACCACAGCATTCTGCAGTGCTCACTGGGGTAAACCCTGACAGACTGAGCCAAAAGGAAACAGGAAATCCTACCAGGTCCCCTTTCACCCTGGACTGACTCCAGGTGACCTCTTTGCTATGTTCAGAGAAATACTGGCAAAAGGTAACTGATCATGTCATGAATGTGGAGAAGTGAGTGAAGGTCCTCTCTGTGCTAAAAGGGGCTGCTCCTGTCATACGCGGTTAACGTCACACCCAGTGTTCAGCATCTGTTAGTCACTGAATCTTTCTGAGACACTACTGTTGGAGCTTCTGTCGGTCTGTGTGAGGTATGAGAGGGGCAGGTGTGGGTGAGAGGTCCTTTCACCCCCGGTCTCTTTTACTCTCTTTAGCTGTGGCCCTGGGAGAGAAAGACAGAGAAACAGAGAGAGCAACTGCCCCAAGCGCATCTCCACTGACCTACATTGCATGCGGCGCTTTTTCCTGCTCTTCCTTTTTTCATCGCTTATTTCTCCTGTACCAGCATCTCCATGCTTATGATGTAATGACCAAAGCAAGCGTGATAAAACCCCAGACTGGTCAGGATGAAGCACTCATGAAGATGGGCAGACAGAAGAAAAAGATAAAGGAAAGAAGAGAGTGAAAGACAGACAGGGAGGGGGCTGAAGTGAAAGAGGGGGGTAGTTATTGTAGCCCGTCAAAATACAGTACAATAAAGGGTTCATCCTTTTTGTCAGAGCAACAAATTGTGCCCTTTTGTGGTTTATGCTCTGTGTGGACCTCAGTCCATCTGAGGGCTGGGGACTCCATTAAGAAGGATTACCCCTTACTGCCAACATTTCAGTGTTCTCCCAAAGCCACAGTGATAGCAGAGAAATTACTTTAAACATAGTCAAATACGTACATCATGTGTTGAATCAAGATGGGAAATAAAGAGCATGGAGCTTTTGCTTGATGAGATATTCTGGAGTGTGGGCTGCTCTGTCCATATGGTGATAAGAGGGAGGAGGGAGCAGGAGAAGCAGACCGGGCCATGCCTAAGGGCTGAGAGAAACCAACACTCTGCACTGAGATGGCATCTCAGGTCCTTCTGCATTTATGTTTCACTCTCTGTTTCTGTTGGCTGCCTGATCTCTCCATCTGTCCACCTGTCTGGCTGACAGTCCTCCTGCCTTGAAGGTTGTGAAGTCTAACTTCTTGGCTGGTGATTAATCCATTTTGTGTCCAACGTGCCTGTCATTATTCTCTCATGCTGGCATCCGTTTTTTTCTGATTTGAATGTATTTCTTGAGTTCTGTTTATCTCTTGTTTGATGCTAGCAGCATGGCTGTAGGGATGGCAATGTCAGTCTGTCAGCCGATCTGACTGAAATATCTTAGAATCAGCTGGATGGATTGAAATGAAAGTTTGTATCCAAAATAATTAGTGGATCCTCTGACATTTCCTCTAGGAGAATCTTGACATTTGTGGCTTTGAGTGATTTATTTCAATGACTATTGGCTAGATTACAAGACATTACAGCCATTCATACTCTGTTCTGGTTAAAGCTGAAGTTATGCATCTACAAAGATGGAAAAAAAAACATTGCTACAAACCTACACAGAGAAGGGAGTCCTGGGTAACCATAGGTCATACCTCCCTGGACTTGCATGTAAAGCAAATACAGTGGTTGATCCAGGGTCCTGTCAGAAAGTTTTTTCTATTTTTGTTTTTGGGTTGTTCCTCCACCTGTCCAGCCCATTCTTGTTTCTTTAAATTTGGCATAAACATCCACTTGGACTCAATGACAAATTGACTAGATTTTGGTGTTTAAAGGTCAAAAGTCAAGCTCAGTAACCTCATGTCCATCCCATTCCTGTGAATTTGGCTGGTTGGCAGGGGCATACAACCACAAAGTGGGAATTCTGGTTCTTCCTTCAGAGTTTGAGTCTACATTTCAGCATAGTATTGTCAGTAACCATAGAAAACTGAATTCCTCTTGCGAAATCATAATTCTTTCAAAGTCTATACAAGTATAAAAGCAGAGGTGTAAAGTAACTAAGTACATTTACTCAAGTGCTGCATTTACAGCGTAAATACAATTTTGAGGTATTTGTATTTTCATGTTCTGCTACTTTATACTTCAACTTCATTACATATTACAGAAAAATATTGTACTGTTTGCTATATTTATTTGGTAACTTCAGTTACTAGTTACTTTTCAGACTGAGATTAATTAAACAGAGTATAATCATCAGAATTTATTGATCCCTGGTGGGAAATTCGCAAGTACCCAGCAGTATGTAAAGTACTTCAAAGTATAAGCATATAAGGTATTTAACATTAGCTCCACCTTTATCAGCTGTAATGTTAAATGCGATGTACATAATACTTCATCAGTACTTATAGTCCAATACTATCATATACATTAATATGAACTGTACCATTCTGCATAATGAGTACTTTTACCTTTGGTACTATAAGTATTTTATGCTAATACATTTGTACTTTTACTACGGTAACAATTTACATGCAGGAACAAAGTGTTTTTACACTGTGGTATTGCTACTTTCACTTAAGTAAACAGTGTGATTACTTCTTCCACCACTGTATAACAGAAATATACATGCTAACATGTCTGAACGACTCTTCATCAGTTAGAATACATGGAAGTATTTTTCCTGAATCAAGTCTTATGCTGTTGACCTTTGACCCCCTTTTTCTATAGCACCAAATCGTTTGGATATCAAATCCTTGCACAAATAAGGACATTCCTCACCCTCAGCTGTACTTTGTGGTTAGCGCTAATTGGTAAATGTTACCTACTAAACAACAGCATGTTGGCATTGCCATTGTGACCATGTTGGCGTTATCATATATAACAATATAGCCTGACAGAGCTGCTATCTTGGCTGCATAGTCCTAGCCTTGTTAAGCTCATTACTTTCCTCTTTCAGATTAAGACTTTGCTATATTGGCAATAAGATGGTCTCCCTATATTGCAACTTTGCCTATTTACACTGAACTTAAAAAGATGGCTAATGTCGCTTATGTTCTTTTTATACAGATACCGGCATCCTGATGTTTGGAGCGTGACGTTTAATATAATGTCCAGTGTGACATATAACAATGCCTCTGACACAAGAATCAGAAAAACAGAGCTATATTAATGTCTGACACAAGAATCAGAAAAACAGAGCATTGTTGCTTTTAATTCAACAGTTATGGATGAACAGAATGTGCTATTGCTCATCCTGCATATTTATAACATCATTCGGACTCATATAAAGTTGTGCAAAGTCTCTGACATGTTAATGATTATGGCCATAGATTATAAGTCTTGAAGGTAACATTTTAAGTCCCTTGGCCGCACGTTGCAGGAAATAAAAACACGTTTTACAAATATTACACACACACACCGACACACACAATTACACAGTAACTCAGCAACAAAACAGCCTGATAGCCAAGTTACCTTTATGCATGAATAGGACACCAGTGAAATGATTGTTGAAACATAAGAGAGAAGACTAGTCTGAAGAGACCTGGATGTGATAGCCTTGTTTCTTTTAAAGCTGTTCATTCATATCAGTCATTGCTGCCCTTGAATCGACCACTAGGAAGTTAACTTATATATAATTAGATAAGTTTCCTCTTGAAAATAAGAAATTAGGCCACAGGTCTCTGAGGAATCTTCCTCTCCAATCTGACGACATGTTCCACACTGCTTCTTATTTTCCCCTGAAACAAGCAGGTGATTTTTCTCTCTGAAACTACTATATGTGTGCGGGTATGAGCACATGTCTG